ACGACAAAAGCTGAGGATCGTAGCTTCGACATGAAGAAAGACTTCGCAGCTATCGCAAACTGTAAACCGTGGACAGCGAATAAAATTTTTGACGGCGATTTGCAGTAGGCAATATTATTTTCCTCCTCAAGATCTTGAATCTCTTTTCTCCTTGCAACTCTTGACTCACTAAAACTTCAGACCAACAAGATTTCTTGCATGTCCCCAACAACGAACTTTTGAAGAGATCAATGGGATACACAACATCCCTCCAAATCCTAAGTTGCGAGTCCAGAAGTGAGTGTTTCTGCAAATTTGATTCTGTTTTGAACCAGCTTATGTGTCTACTATGGCTTCTTTCAATATAGCACAGGTATGCTCTTGAAAGGAACGAATATGCAAAGAATGCACAACGAAAATCCAATTATTTGCGGACATTGAAGTATGACAAGTTTGAAATGTACGAGAAAGATGTGAGTTTGAGCGTTAAGTTTTTGTGCAACTGTGCATTTTTTCTTTTGAATGTACTGAAATTCTGCTTTTTTCTGAATGGCTCAAAAATGTCAGGTCAACAATTTGATGAAGGAGAGAAGCTATTGTAAAGCCCGGCTTCGCTCAAATGCGCCAAAAAATACCCCTACTTCTCGAACCTCTTCATTTTCTCTCATCTCTCCTCAAACGAGAAAGTGAAGAGAGAAATTAGAGAGATTTAGGCGCTTGTAGGAGCTTTTGAGCGAAGTCTGGCCGTCTAAAGATTTGATCTTCCCCAGGAAAATTCAGATAAACACAGTATAAATGTAGCTGGGATATCAAAGTTACCTGATGGATAAACATGTTTTTAAGTTGCGGAGAAGCCATAGTACTTCCATGCATCTACCTTGTGCTAGAGACATCATCATCGCATGTACCGTCATCGTACCTCACAATAGAATCCTCAATTCTGATGAGCTGAGAAACACTAGACTTGTGAGTATATTTTTCGTTTTTTTGACCCAAAATCTAGTACAAAGATAGTTTTTGGGTTATCTTGAGGGTTTCCGCTTCATTATTGCTCTTGGTAGTTTTCGCATTTTCGCGTTCTACACTTATTTCCAGCTTACAGCGGAGAGAAAACTCATCTTGCGTGGCGACTCAACCCTTCTCAGTTTGAGGCAAAAGATTGTGAGTATGGAAACTTTTGTTCTTTTGTTCTCAATGTATCTCACTTTCAGTTGTGCATATGTGACACTGTCGTTGAACTGGAAGATGGAAAGGAGCTGGAACCAGTTGATCAGAATAAGGTGTGCCTTTTGGTTTTCTGTAGTTTATGTTGGCGCGAACATCCACAAAGCTTGCCGCTATTTTACACTTTTCCAGACTCACATGCTTTTGTATCCATCATCGTTCATATTCATCCACGATACGTTTTATGTCGATTATTCGTTACCACATTCACAAGATATATCTGCGTAAGTTATTCTTTTTGATCTTTTGGGTTGCAGTTATTTCGAACATTGAATCATCTAAACCTTTATTAAATTATATGACATCTATGTCTCATTCTATGTAATAACTATACGGCATTTGCATAATTCAAGACCGATACGGGAGTTCATGGCTAGAAAGAAATGCTTTGATCCAGTTACATCGCGGGACATAGAGGGAGTGAAAGTGATTGATCTTAAGCTGCGGTAAATATGCTTTGTGTTTCCGTTGTACTCACTGTGGCGAACTTTTCTAGGTTAGGTCAGCCGTACGTGTTCCAACACTCAGGAACCTGCGAACATTTGCTTATTTTTCATGATTTGCGGTTATTGGAGAAAACGGATGTTCAAGTGAGTATCTTTTGTCCTGTTTATACTGAGTAGTTCTTTATTGTTGTGCTTATAGTTGAGCTTGTGGATTTACGTTTTTGTTTAGGCTTTGACCATACATTACCAGTGTTACTCGTGTTAC